AACCTAACCTTAACTCTAACATTAAAAACCACACTAACCTAACCTTAACTCTAACATTAACAGCCACACTAACCTAACCTTAACTCTAACATTAAAAACCACACTAACCTAACCTTAACTCTAACATTAAAAACCACACTAACCTAACCTTAACTCTAACATCAACAGCCACACTAACCTAACCTTAGCTCTAACATCAACAGCCACACTAACCTAACCTTAACTCTAACATCAACAGCCACACTAACCTAACCTTAACTCTAACATTAAAAACCACATTAACCTAACCTTAACTCTAACATTAACAGCCACACTAACCTAACCTTAACTCTAACATCAACAGCCACACTAACCTAACCTTAACTCTAACATCAACAGCCACACTAACCTAACCTTCACTCTAACATCAACAGCCACACTAACCTACCCTTAACTGCATCACCAAACACAGGAACAAGCTATTACCTGAACATAAGCAGCCTATTCTTATTTAGCTATTCTATAGAATCAAAGCTTATAAAAAGTAGTGTAGCACTTCACGTGTTTTTACCCACATTTGTTACACTATAAAACATCCTCACTGCCCTATCTGCCCTCGTTATGCTCAGTGCCCGACCTTGACATTACAAACATTATCCCACGGTCTCTCGCGTCATAACTACCGTACAGGTTGTCACGTGGTCTCTTGTTATGTAACCATTTTACGGAGTTTAAAGGTCAAGTTTGTAAAAAAAAAAAACAATAACCTTCAATACTTTCACCCTCCTACCCTCCACACTTCCTCTCATCAACACATTCCATCCTCCATCCTCCAACCTTCTCACCAACACTCTACAACCCTCTCACCAGACCATTTCATCCTCCAATCCCTCAACAACACAACTCACCAACACCCTCTAACCCCTCACCAACACATTCCAACACATTCCAACCACCAACCCCACCAAACAATCTCATCACTCCCCCATCACCATCATTCAACCCATCATAACTCCTCCCATAATCACCCACAACCCCTTACCAACCCTATCATCCCTTTAACCATCATGTCTCCCCCCACCAACACCCTCCTACCCTCCTACCCCTCATCTCACCTCCTCATACCCCCCCTCCAACCTACCATTCTAAAATTGCCTTTTCTGTACTTGTACGGTAACGTCGACTTTCTACTAGCTCTGGAGCCCCTAGTCGGCTGGGATGGTTCGCCCCTGGGTACTACACTCTTAACAGCCCGGGGGTGAGACGTGCTAGCTAATTACGTCACATCCTGTTTTACATCACCCAGCGCAGAGCTGTTTTCTGCCAAAACAGACTTTAACCTTTGACCTTTTCCCCTCAAACCACCAAGGTGACCTTTGTTGAAAATTCCAGTCAGTTTATTGAAAACATTGAAAACAACAACAGTAAAACAGCCAAATAAATCACAGCTACTACTACTACCTCAGCAACGATAACAATTAATACACCTAAGACAACAGCTATAACCATTATATCATCAACTTAAGCAACAACTGCCATTTTTACTGCACAACTAGAGTTCTCAAAATACAGAGAAAAAAAAATTCCTCGTTATCGGTGAAACGAGATTCGATCGTGGTCTGTCTCATACCAAATCCTTCCCATCACGCTATAAAATCATCAACCATCATCACGTGATTCCCGGACACGATCTCGTGTTATCCAAACATTAGTTTCACGCCGTAATTTGCCCGTTAGGTTTTTACCAGCAGACAGGTGTTGTAACGATTTACACGCTCGTAATGGCTTACCTAAACTCCGCCATGGTATCGTCTTAGTTTCAGCTTGATACTTATCTTCGATCCTTATGGTATCGTCTATAACAATTTAAGTAGGTTTAAGTATCGATCCCGTATCGTCGTACTAAAACCTCCGTGCCGTCCTACTTTTGGTATCTCTATTACCCGTGGGTCCTCCTTCAAGCAATTCACGGAAGGTGCTTAACATGTGCTTAAAATGTGCTTTCCATGTGCTTACAAAATTTAAAATCACTTTTCCTTGCGGAACTAGAAATTAATTTTGACACTGCATGTAAACAAACCCACGTGACTCGATCTACGCTGTTTTGTTGGACTAGTTATTTTAAGTCATAGGTTCATTAAATGCTCGTACTTGGGCTCTAGATAATCTTAGATTAACGTTTCCCGTTAATCCCGGGTTCAAACCCACACTGTTTAAGATATTTTATTTACGTATTTCTTCACTTTTACCATCTGTTCCTGGTGCATCTTCTGCTTTGAGTTTTGGTACAGCTGTCTACACTTCTGTTATGTGTGTGGGTTTCAGTTTTGATGTCCAGTTCTTTTGGCTTGGTGGTCTAGCAATGTCTTGAGAAAGATGCGAACCGAAAATCTGCGCACAAAGATGCGCAAGAGAATTTATTTTAAATCGATCATCTGTAGACGTCATCAAAGAATGACTACGTGTACATAGCAGCACAATAAAACATTTTTCTAAGAAGTATGACAGAATTAAAGTGTAGTAGTATAGTTTGTATTTGCGCAATTTTCCGTTTGCGCATTTTTCTGTTGCGCAATCTTACGTTTGCGCATTTTCCCTGTAAAATATTCATTCCATCGACTTTATTTTTCGCATTTAATATCCTGCTCATTTTACGTTGTTAGTTATAACTAATAGGATCAATGGCATAAAAAAATACAATAGCAATTTCTGCAACTAAAAACAAAGCTTTCTAAAGACCTGAGTATAATAATTTGGTTTTGGTGCAAAGCTGCAATCGTTGAAAAATGTGACGTAACAGTGACGTCGATTGATCACATGACTGAGCCTCGATGTCGGCACGTGTTTATAAGACTACTGACCGGAAGTGTATGATCGTCTGCTCCACTCACGCACCAACGCCATCAGGCGTTAGCTCACCACGCGCACACGTGAGTTCGGTAAGCCAACCAGGCAAGCCGCTAATTTCCATACGGCAACGAAAAACCCGACCACCGATCTCAGACTACGCCGGGCTTGTAGCAGACGTGAAATCTCCTAATGGCTCTCAAATCCGCGGCCCGGTTTATCTAGGGCCGGACGGGCTATTTCTGGACACAGTGGCCAGATTTTTGAAACATTGTCAATCAAGGCTGGGAGAATTATGATCATTGTGGCTAAATTCAGCTTTCATAAGGGCGGTGCATTTGATTGGATTGAAGGAATCAGATCCATTAGGTACAACGTAAACAGCAATTGATAATTGAAGTGGCCGTCAGTGCAAATGGCCGTCCGTTGAAGTGGCCATGACTACAAGAGACCTTCAGTTGAAGTGGCCACCCATACACCTCTGTAATTTAGACTGGCGTGTATATATATTGCATATATCGATCCGGATTTGTGCTAGGGGGAGAAGGGGGTGAAGGGGAGTGTGTTGGACATGTGACCTGTTGATGTTGGCGTGTGAAACATGGTGGAGAGTATGGTGGAGAGTATGGTGGAGTGTATGGTGGAGTGTATGGTGGAGAGTATGGTGGAGTGTATGGTGGAGAGTATGGTGGAGTGTATGGTGGAGTGTATTGTGGAGAGTATGGTGGAGTGTATGGTGGAGTGTATGGTGGAGTGTATGGTGGAGTGTATGGTGGAGTGTATGGTGGAGTGTATGGTGGGGAGTATGGTAGAGTGTATGGTGGAGAGTATGGTGGAGTGTATGGTGGAGTGTATGGTGGAGAGTATGGTGGAGTGTATGGTGGAGTATGGTGGAATGTATGGTGGAGTGTATGGTGGAGTGTATGGTGGAGAGTATGGTTGGTATTTAAGATGTGAACTCGTTATTTTTGTGCTGAAAACATGTATCATCCAATTAAACCTACATCAACAACTGGATGTCAAGTATTGATGACGTGAAGTGAAGTACATTACTTATGATATCAGTACAGTGCACATATATAAAGTGAGATGTGAAGTACAGTAGCTATGATATCAGTGCAGTGTATAGATATTAGGTGAGAAATTGGCCAATGATTGAGAAATATACGGAGTGAAATAAGAAATAGTCGATAAATACAGCCAGTGAGAATACGGTTAAGATAATCTGGTAAGTTATCAAAGTATCACATAAAAAACAACCTTTTTTGCACAATGAAGATTCTTGTTTTTCTTTACTTTTTTTCATTTTCACGCTCGAAGATTTTTTAGCAACCTTTTTTTTAAAAAAAAAAAAAAAACCCAACTCAACGACAGTTTTTATCTTGTCTGATACGCGCAATGAATTATTTCCCTTTTGGATTACTGAATTCCTATAAAAGGAAGCAAGCGGAAACAGGTGAAAAATCACTCGCCGTCCCCGATATGGTTCAAGTTCTGATAGTGGTTAATTGATTTCTCGCAACTAGTTACTATAAATAGCACATGGTCATTAGCATCTGTGTAAGTTGGGAAACTGGGTCACATGTGTCGGTGTGTTTTATCTTTGAGTGTTTGTATGTTAGTATGTATGTATGTATGTGTGTATGTATGTATGCGTGTGTGTATGTGTGTATGAAAAAAGGGAGGGGGTAGCTGTGACCTGAAACGTGTTTAAATCAACATAAATAGTTGGAGATGATAGTTGTGCTGACACTTCAAAACGCATTATCTAACAACCTTAGTTGACCCTTAGGTGCTGGTGGGTAGGGCCCATAGGGGTAGTTGTGACGGTGGTGGGGGGGGGGGGGGTCAGGGGGAGAGGTCGAGAGAGATAGTCGCTATACATACAGAGCCAGTGTACACCAGTTTTAATGTTGTACAAAATTCAATCAAAATGCAGCTATCCAATGTTTTAAATTAAACTGTTTCTTCTCTTGATTAAAAATACACGTAGGACCAATTCACTGCCGTTTCAGCTTTGATAACACAAAATGTACACAAAATGTACACCAAATGTACACACAATGTACACCAAACAATAAACTATAGGCCTTGTTGTGTCGCGATTGCTACACAATTAATTAAGCTAATTTGAATAATTCTCTCATACAGTGCATACAGTAAGACAAACACAATTTGGTGATTTTAGTGTCTCAAAATATCAAAGCTTTTTTTTCGGCTTTATTTTAAAAGTAAGAAACATAAAAATAAAAGTAACATCTTGAATGATATCCAAGTACTGTTTTTGACTGTATGAGGTAGGATGTAAGACAGCTCTGTGTTTAGCTATTATATGAATTTCCAGCTTGTTTATTGTGTGAATTCCCAGCGTGTAAATTGTATAAATTCCTGTTTTGTTTATTTATTGTGTTTTTCCCTGTTTATTTATTGTGTGAATTCCCATGTTGCTTACTTATTGTGTAAATCTCTATCTTGTTTATGTGTTGTGTGCAATCCCATCTTGTTTATAGCCTGGGTCTGAGTTTAGAATGGAAGCACGAGCGGGGTAGTGTGAAGACTGCTGGGTCAACTTGGGTCACCGGGTTGTAAAAGATGATGACCGCTAGGGGGCTTCCACTTCCGGTACCTGCCAAGGTCAATGAATGTTGTATTAATAATGTACAGCGCTGTTTTATAATTCACATCAAATATGTTCCGCAATACCAATCAAGATTGTTTAAAAATATTCGTTACATTGTCAGGAATTATTTCTTGGTGTTATTACTTGCATTAATGCAGTAACCCATTAATTCTCAAAATTTATTGATTCATGTGTTGTCCTGTTGGCATTTTTATATTAATCCTATAAATGAATTTTGAAAGATCGACTATGTTTCTTGTCCAATTGAATTTAGTTAAGCATTGAACGATCTTTTGGCTTTTTTATACTTAACAGTAGATCAGTGATTCTCAAACAGTGGGTGACAGCTGTCTGGTATCGTATTAGCTGTCTTATATCGTATGAGCTGTCTAATTGTTGTCTGGTATTTTATTAGCTGTCTAATTGCTGTCTGATATCGTATTAGCTGTCTAATTGCTGTCTGATATCTTATTAGCTGTCTAATTGCTGTCTGATATCGAATTAGCTGTCTAATTGCTGTCTGGTATTTTATTAGCTGTCTAATTGCTGTCTGATATCGTATTAGCTGTCTAATTGCTGTATGGTATCTTATTAGCTGTCTAATTGCTGTCTGTTATCGTATTAGCTGTCAAATTGCTATCTGATATCCCATTAGCTTTCTAATTGTTGTCTGATATCGAATTAGCTGTCTAATTGCTGTCTGATATCGTATTAGCTGTCTAATTGCTGTCTGATATCGAATTAGCTGTCTAATTGCTATCTGATATCGTATTAGCTGTCTAATTGCTGTCTTATATCGTATTAGCTGTCTAATTGCTGTCTTATATCGTATTAGCTGTCTAATTGCTGTCTGATATCGTATTAGCTGTCTAATTGCTGTCTAGTATCGTATTAGCTGTCTAATTGCTGTCTGGTATCGTATTAGCTGTCTAATTGCTGTCTGATATTGTATTAGCTGTCTAATTGCTGTCTGATATTGTATTAGCTGTCAAATTGCTATCTGATATCCCATTAGCTGTGTAATTGTTGTCTGATATCGTATTAGCCGTCTAATTGCTGTCTGACATCGTATTAGCTGTCTAATTGCTGTCTGATATCGTATTAGCTGTCTAATTGCTGTCTGATATCGTATTAGCTGTCTAATTGCTGTCTGATATCGTATTAGCTGTCTAATTGCTGTCTGATATCGTATTAGCTGTCTAATTGCTGTCTGATATCGTATTAGCTGTCTAATTGCTGTCTGATATCGTATTAGCTGTCTAATTGCTGTCTGATATCGTATTAGCTGTCTAATTGCTGTCTGATATCGTATTAGCTGTCTAATTGCTGCCTAATATCGCGCGAGATACCACTGTGATCTAATTTAGACGTTTCGGTCACTATGACCCGTAGAGGTCAAGGACTCACGTTTGATGTGACGGACCAATGGGAGGCGTGGGCTGCCAAGCGTGAAGGCCAGCCTCATGGTCGTGTCCTGGCCAAGGTCAAGCTCCCATGTCTGCACGTCAAGGACGTCAGCGCCACCACCCAGATGGGTGCCATTAGGGCTAATGACGTAGGCTGTAGCTGGAAATAGAATTACGTCATAACCTGCTTGCTTCATTTCTTATTAAATACATGATTGTAGGATTCCCGCCAAAATATTTTTGTTTTGTTTTTCTTTCTAAGACTTCGAAAATAGTGGAAATTGATTAAATGTTTAATTGAATAGAGCGATCAGACTTATTAAAAAAAGACATAGCCCCTACAACTACTGACTTCATAAACTTTATTGCAGTTTCTGTCTGACTTTTTCTCCGGGGAGGAGGGTAGGTGAGAGCACTTGAAATATTATTAGGGGGGGGGGGACTTGAAAAAAAATTTTGAAGGTGGAGGGGGGGGGAGAGGCGATAGACGTGCATTGGGGGGGGGGGTGGGACTACCATCCCCGAAGAGATGCCGGAAAGAAACTCTCCTTTATTGGAATAGAGCGAAGACAAACGTAAACTTACGCGGCAAACACTGAAAGATCGCTTCTGAGCTGTCCATCCTGTACACAGTGCAGTTGTCGTCCTTGGTTATGTTGTAGGCCAAAAACTGTGAGAAATATTTTTTTAATCATAAAAATGTTCTAAATTATAAGCTTTCATGTAATTATGCACTAAAAAGGAGAAAATAAATGATTTTCTTTAAATATATAATAATACATTACTATTTAAATACAATAAAGAAAAGCGTGGACCACTTGATTATCTATTGGATAACTTTACAAATATTTAAAAAGAGACCCACGCTTATCTTTATAGTTATTTAAATAGTAAGGTCTCAGGACACAAAAGAAAACAAATCCTTTAAACAAATTTTGTTTTACCGTTCTAAGATCAAAGACTGTCCTGGGGTCGTCATTGGCCCCAAACTTTGCCGCCTGACCCCTACTGAAGTCTGCCGCGTAGCTGCCATAACTCTGAAACAAACATGGCCGCGGGTCACGTGATTGGGTGGATGTTTAATTCAGCGTAGTCGTAACTAACTCTGGCCGATGGATTGGGATATTTACAACATATTTTGAGTGCGTGTTAATGAAGTTAGGACGTAGAAGAGCTGTCAACAGATGGAGCAAGTTTTGAAGGTTCACGTAGAGTACCAATGATGTAACAACCCCTTTCACGCGGTTACTCACTCAAAAAATATGAACTCTACTTACATGAATACACTGTTTACATGAGTACGTACACAGCAAATGTGAATTTCGCTTACGCTTACATGATTACACTTACATGATAACTTCAAATAGAAAACAAGGTAATTAAAAAGTCTAGTGACAATTTTAGCGCAATTTTCTTATGTTATCTAAAAGTAGCTCTGTCGTAGCGTAAATCAAGAGCATGGTTAGTAAAACCATTGGTTAGTTATTAAAACGTTTTTTATTAATTTTTTTCAGTATTTTACATGTTTTATTTACAATAGAGTTACATGAGTAAAAACCATTGCGCGCCTACTGAACGTGATGGCGCAGCCATGGAACGCGATGGCGCAGCTATTGAACGTGATGACGCGTGTGGTGTGGTTGGAAAAAATGCCTACTAATTCGGTCCAAATTTTAATTAATTAAAAAATTTTTTTGTGACCGAACGAAAGGATATTTTTGAAAACTTTCTTCGGCAATATTGTTCTAAATTATGGCAGGAATCGATTGGTACATGTTTCAAGTCGCTTAGTGGTCTGGTTGCCGAGATATGGGCCAAAAACTGCATTTTTTCGAGGTTTTTTTGGCTTTTCCGGGAAATCCATGAAAGAAACCCGTAATTTTTATGGCCTATGTTCATCCTCGTAACTTGCTTAACATAATTGCTTTTGGAACTAGTCATCGATATTGCTTCGTTGAAGAGGAGATACGACTTAAAGCCCGGACACACATTCATCCATACATTCATACATTCATCCATCCATTCATCCATCCATTCCCAGAAATGACGAGTTAATAAACGCAATTCTCCAGAATGGAAATTGCGCTAAAAATATGCCTGAAATAAGTTGTAGGCTCGAAAGAGAGTGTCACAACGTATTTAATGTATAGTAAAAGATTCAGTCGATAATAATTGATAGTCTATTTGTGAAGCTTACATCGTCTTGAAGATACAAATCCGGTTAACAGTTACAATTGTTTACCTTGTGGGTAAAATTAATATGTTGTAGATACAAGTTTAAAAATTTAAAAAAAAAAGTTTTTGACATTGGCGTCATTAGGTCGGGTGTCACCTGGTGTGGTAATTGAGGATGTTATCCCCCCTTCCTCCAACAATTTTGGATTTTCGATTACACCTTCCCTTATTAATTTCTTATTTTATCTGGATAAAGCACACTGGTTGCCGATCATGTTGAAATGTAAACTTATAAACGTTGTTGATGAAGTTAAATTATAAACTTATTTAGGATGTCCAAAAAATTGAAACGTAAAGTTATTTACGTTGCGGATCAAGTTAAAATGTAAACATTTACGTTGCAGATAAGAGTAAAATGTAAACTTATTTAGACTGGACAAAGTTAAAATATAAACGTATTTACGTTGTCGATGAAGTTGAAGAAGCCAGCTTGTATCTGTGGGGGGAGGCAGACGGTGGTCGGGTCCTGTCCACTCACTATTGTGATCGCCACGAAAACAAACACGACCTTCATCTTCTGCTTGATTTCCCCGGAACTCTGCTCACGTGACTGTTTGTTGTCGGCACGTGACCACTTTACACACCACTGATTGGTCCAGCGTTCTGGGGTCTACATGACGTCACAGCACTAGTCTGTACTGGCTGACTCCAGATGACGCCAGGCTGACTCAAGAGTGCTGTCGACTCTCCTTCAAGAACGGAGTTATCTCACTTGAGCAGGGAACTTGATCCGCCCATTGAGATTATTGATAACTACTTTCAAACTTTCAATAGGGTTAAAGAATACAGTGTTTTTTTAGGTTATCACCGACTTCTTCAGTAAGAAGACTGGAAGGTCAGCAGAAGGCCAATCTAATGAAGGTCCTAAACAGTGAGAGGACTAGAAGGACATGATCTCAGCGATACGAGGACAAGTAGGTCTAGTTTTATTGCGTCCTACAGGATGTCCTACAATGTGTCCTCTCTATTCCAGGGTCTAGTTTTAAATAATCACCTTCTAATATTTTATCCTTATTGTTAATCTTAAAACATAAATTCCAACTTCTTAACTAGTTCTACTATGAATAGGCTGACTTACAAGCAGTGGCGGAACTAGAAAAAAAAGGCTCCCCCGCAAAAAAAAATTTTTTGGGCCCCCCCTATATGTATATATATATATATATATATATATATATATATATATATATATATATATATATATATATATATATATATATATATATATATATATATATATATATATATATATATATATATATATATATATATATATATATATATATATATATATATATATATATATATATATATATATATATATCCGAACTCGAGAACTTCGGGCAAGCTATCAAAAGCTATATTATATATATATCTAAATTTCAAATAGTCTATTACCTGAGTATTTTTATCTATTTCATTGCAATGTATAACCACTCTGAGATAACGAACCAGACAACAATAAGTCCGAACTCATTTCGGGCCCGCAATAATCATTTTTTACAAATTTTTGTATTTTTTTTTTTTTTTTTTTTTCAATATGTTGAATTCTTTTAATCATGGTTACAGTACAGCAACTCACAACTTGGAAAAGTCAAAATTTGAAAATGTCAAAGGGATAAGGAAAAGATAACATATGACATAAAGGATAACAGGAGCAGATTAATTCATTGGAGTCATAGTCAACTTTTCTTTAGACTCCCTTTAAAAGACAATCTTGCCATTATCATGGTATAAAAATACTTAGCCTATCTCTACAACTTTTTAATTACTACATTATAATAATTATATACAAGAAGGTTTCAGGTACAAGTGTCAACAACAGTTGAGGCAGAGTAAAAGTAAATGGTAGAGGGGAGAGGAAATGTGGTAAATATTGAAGTGTAGATGGATATAAAAGTTTTAACACAACAGATTAACAGCAAAAACGTGTATAGAAGTGTGTTATAATGGTTAAATGATACCTACAAACAGTTTAATGTAATGTATAATTGGTATATTTAAAAAAAATCACTAGCTGATTGTAAAGTTCACAATAAAAATGTCTTGTTAGATGAACAGACAGCATTTTAAAATTTACAGTCCACATATTTCAGTGAGTTTACCATGTATATTGTATTATTTTAAATGTATTTTACCTTGCTACTTAAATAGTTCCTTAATTCCAGTTGCATTATTTTCTTTTACATATTAAACAGTAATTAAGAAAAAAATAAAGAAACTAAAACAAGTTGAGATTTAGATCTTCTAGTTAACATAAACTACAACTAGTTTTAATAAAATTGTAATAAAAAATGTGATAAAATGTACTAAATAAATATTTTACAAAAACTAGCTTGTACATCAGTGCCAATATCACAATTATGCAGATATTTCAGGAAACAATATGAAAATCTAGGTATGATTATGAGCACAACCAGGCCATTTAATCATCATCGTCATCATCAGGTACAAACAATTCATGTTCTTCCAACCAGGCAGCAAACTCTCTACTCAGTGTTGCTCCACCAAGCAGAAAGGGGGTGATGATTAAAGCAGACTTAATAAGGCCAAATCTGACTTGACCTGGTTTGGGAAGAATAGCACCACTGTCATTTTTTACAAGATTTCTAGTGGGTGGATTGAAACTTGCTAAATTAGCTCGATTTGAATCTATTAACAATCTACGAGTTGTATTTGCTAGAATTCTTAAGCTGCTAGCAGCCATGTTTTTTTTTCAAGCTGTGTATTATATTTTCATGCTTACCGAGAATTGTGAAAATATTTGCTTTAAAATTGACATGATGGTCAAAATTATATAAACACGTAAGCTTGATTTGTGCAATGGTTTCTCGCGTTATGTTTATTTTTATGATTTTTCGTATGTATATTATCAGTTTTTAATACATTCATTTTTATAGCTATATGATTCTTTAGTATGCCTTATTTAAATAATAATTAAGAGATTAAATCGCTCTCTAAAACAAAACTATTTAAATGAGCTTTATGGGCACCCCTATTTTAAAGGAGGGCAGTAAATCATGGAAGTAGTCTGAACGTTTGCCTATCTTTCAAAGTACAGCTCTTGTGGATTTTATATTTTTCTACGCAACAGTGTGTGTTAGTTACTGTAGAACAATCACTGCTATAGTAGACCTGTTTGTTTTTTACAAAACCGCTATCAAGATGCACGAAAAAGATTATTTATGAAAAGAAAATTTATTGTTTTTTTTGGTCGGAATTGGGCCCCTAAAAGTCGTGGGCCCCCCCCGCATTGCGGGGTCTGGCGGCACTGTAGTTCCGCCCCTGCTTACAAGCTACGTGTTACTTTAAATCTGTAGACTTACAACCTTGTACTACTATTGTTTAATTAATCTCTAAATTCATGAATTCCGCGCAAGAATTGAGTAAAGATTAAACGAAAACCCCATGTATAGCATTCTTCTTCCTAGATCCTGGAGAATCAAGTGACGTTTATTTGGTGTCAGCTGTCATGTTTATGTGTTGTTTTGTTGGTTGTGTGAATATATTTGGACATTATACCCCACACCCCATAAATTAAACAGTTTGGGTACTGCTTTATAATGGAATATCTTAATCCTAATTATAGATAGCGGACATTGATAGCAAGACAATGAATGTACAAACAAAACAGAACAAAGTCATTTTCTTGTAAGAAATTTATTCGAAATGTACAAAGTCAAAATTTTCACGTGTATGCTACATAACTTGTGCATTTAGGACGGGGGGTGGGGGGGGGGGCATGGCAAAGAGTTAGTGAGGGCAAGAGGGCAAAGATCTAGTGAGGACAGGAGGGGGGGGCAATGATCTAGTGAGGACAGGAGGGGAAGGGGCAAAGATCTAGTGAGGACAGGAGGGGGGGGGGGGGGGGGCAATGATCTAGTGAGGACAGGAGGGGAAGGGGCAAAGATCTAGTGAGGACAGGAGGGAGGGATGTCGAAGAGAACAGGATCAACTGACTCGGCTGAGTTGAAATAAAGAAACGACTGAGTTTCCTTGCCAGCCTCTGTAAATGAAACAAAGATTGAAACAATCAGCACTGTAAATAGTACGAGAATAGCATAAAAAAAGATTGACAAAATCAACGATATAATAGTACGAGAATAGCCAGATGAATATAAGCTTTAAGCCAAACACACTAAACCTCAAACTGTTACTTATCGAAAGTATTTTGTAATCAACCGTCTAGTTATAATGCCACACGACTATCTGTTCAAAAAGACAATTAGACACCTGTCTATTAATGACGTCACCGAGACAGCTGTCTTCTGTCCAGCACGACTTACCAAAGAGTTGAGACATGACGGGTACAGCAGGCGATGACGTGGTGAAGGCCACCCTGGTCAGGTCACCCCCGGGCAGGTCCACCTCCCACACGTCCATGTCTAGAGAGGTCAGACCGTAGCCGATGTAGCTGTTGTTTGGGCTAAACAGTCGTGCGTCTTCTGAACATAGACACAAATATTTGGGCTAAATATAGACATAAATATTTGGGTTGAACATAGACACAAATATTTGGGTTGAACATAGACACAAACATTTGGGCTGAACATAGACACAAATATTTGGGCTGAACATAGACACAAATATTTGGGCTGAACATAGACACAAATATTTGGGTTGAACATAGACACAAATATTTGGGTTGAACATAGACACAAACATTTGGGCTGAACATAGACACAAATATTTGGGCTGAACATAGACACAAATATTTGGGTTGAACATAGACACAAACATTTGGGCTGAACATAGACACAAACATTTGGGCTGAACATAGACACAAATATTTGGGCTGAACATAGACACAAATAAGTGGCTGAACATAGACACAAATAATTGGGCTGAACATAGACATAAATATTTGGGCTAAACAGTCATGCGTCTTCTGAACATAGAAGTAAATATTTGGGCTGAACATAGCCACATATTGGGGCTGAAAATACACACAAATTTGTGGACTAAACATAGACACATAATCGGGCTGAACATAGACATAAGTAATTGGGCTGAACATAGACACAAATATTTGAACTGAACATAGACACATATATTTGGACTAAACATAGACACACATATTTGGACTGAACATAGACGCAAATATTTGGGCTAAACATAGACACACATATTTGGGCTAATCACCCGTGCGTCCTCTTAACATAGACACAAATATTAGGGCTAAACATAGACACAAATATTTGGGCTAAATATAGACACAAATATTAAGGCTTACAATAGACATATTTGCGCTAAACAGTTAGATCTTTATCGCTCTACACTGACAGATTCAAACCAGCTAACTTGAAAGTCGAGCAGCTCTAGATATCGACCACGGGAAAACGTCAACAAAGACAAACAAGAACCCGTAAGAGCTTTATAGTGATCCAATTTAACATTTGCAATTCGTAAATAAAATTTTAGCAGAGTTCAAGGACTGATTTAAAGAGTCCAGCATCATATTATTACAGTTACACAAGTTGTGATGTTGTTGCTATTCTTACTTACTTGACAGACATCGTTACTTACTTGGCAGACATTGCTCGTAAACTTGGCTGTCGTTCATCTTGAACTTGATGCAGTTGTCGTTTGGTATCTGGATGTTGTAGCCGACTCTCTGATAAGAAAGGTCAAGGTTACATTAGTTATATAAACACTGTATGGAATTCTAGTACCAGCTGAACTCACAGCGGAGTTATGAAATATTATTTTGGAGATGAGTGGTTGGGTGGTCAACCGTTTGATGTGTATTTTTAGAAAACATTGTCCCAAGATACGTATCGTGAAGTCTGGGATGGACAAGACACCCCACCCCCACCCCACCCCACCCAACAACCCACACACATTTTAACACAGATATGTCACACATCAGACCATGAATACGCTTCTACCAGCATGTTCACATATCAAACCTTTTCTCCGACGGTAACAAAATCTTATTGAACCAACTGTTTCCTAGCATGTCCGCATTTCCAAATTTTTCATCACCATTAAACAAACTGACAGAAAGGGATCAACCTAGATACAAAATGACGTCAGCACACGAAAGAACCAATCATCATGATCTTTCGGACCTGTCACGTGACACAAAAGGGCCTACGAGAAAGCACTGTTCACTACTTAAGTCCCCTATCAGTCTTTTATAGCATAGTGTCGACATTTAAAAAAAAGTAGATTTATATATTTATTTAAGAAACGGGATTAACTGTCGAAAAATTCACTTAATAAAACATGTCAATTTAAACATGACACTTTCATGAATAAATTATTACTTAAATTTTACAGAATATTTTTTTGAGATAATTATTTGTTGTGAAATAAAAAGTACCCATTATTTGGAAACATATTTACTTCTATGTTTCTGTTCATTTAAAAAAATAAACTAAAACAATTCGAAATAAGGGTTTAGTTGAGCCTGAATACAATGCAGACTTTAAAGATGGGGATAATGGTTGGAGATTAGAGGGGAGAAAACATGGGATACCGTCTGGTTATGGGTGGGTGGTGGGGGAGAAAACATGGGATGTCGTCTGGCTAGAGAAAACATGGGATGTCGTCTGGTAATGGGTGGAGGAGAGAAAACATGGGATGTCGTCTGGACCAGAGAAAACATGGGATGTCGTCTGGGCCAGAGAAAACATGGGATGTCGTCTGGTAATGGGTGGAGGGGAGAAAACATGGGATGTCGTCTGGGCCAGAGAAAACATGGGATGTCGTCTGGACCAGAGAAAACATGGGATGTCGTCTGGCCAGAGAAAACATGGGATGTCGTCTGGGCCAGAGAAAACATGGGATGTCGTCTGGTAATGGGTGGAGGGGAGAAAACATGGGATGTCGTCTGGTAATGGGTGGAGGGGAGAAAACATGGGATGTCGTCTGGACCAGAGAAAACATGGGATGTCGTCTGGTAATGGGTGGAGGGGAGAAAACATGGGATGTCGTCTGGTAATGGGTGGAGGGGAGAAAACATGGGATGTCGTCTGGTAATGGGTGGAGGGGAGAAAACATGGGATGTCGTCTGGGCCAGAGAAAACATGGGATGTCGTCTGGCCAGAGAAAACATGGGATGTCGTCTGGCCAGAGAAAACATGGGATGTCGTCTGGTAATGGGTGGAGGGGAGAAAACATGGGATGTCGTCTGGACCAGAGAAAACATGGGATGTCGTCTGGCCAGAGAAAACATGGGATGTCGTCTGGTAATGGGTGGAGGGGAGAAAACATGGGATGTCGTCTGGACCAGAGAAAACATGGGATGTCGTCTGGTAATGGGTGGAGGGGAGAAAACATGGGATGTCGTCTGGACCAGAGAAAACATGGGATGTCGTCTGGCCAGAGAAAACATGGGATGTCGTCTGGTAATGGGTGGAGGGGAGAAAACATGGGATGTCGTCTGGACCAGAGAAAACATGGGATGTCGTCTGGCCAGAGAAAACATGGGATGTCGTCTGGTAATGGGTGGAGGGGAGAAAACATGGGATGTCGTCTGGACCAGAGAAAACATGGGATGTCGTCTGGGCCAGAGAAAACATGGGATGTCGTCTGGGCCAGAGAAAACATGGGATGTCGTCTGGGCCAGAGAAAACATGGGATGTCGTCTGGTAATGGGTGGAGGGGAGAAAACATGGGATGTCTTCTGGTAATGGGTGGAGGGGAGAAAACATGGGATGTCGTCTGGGCCAGCTGATCTCTGAGGTTCCTGTAAGACAATCGGTTGCCGGGCACCGTCAGGGACTGTCGCGGAATGTCCAAACATTTCATTAACAACCGGCATCCCGCATGATTAAATGTTGGACTAACACGGTGTCTGGGATCACCGTGATAGATGTTTGACAGACCACATGACAGACAGAAATTTGACATATCACATGACAGACAGATGTTTGACAGATCACAAGACAGACAGATATTTGACAGACAAAATGACAGACAGAATTTTGACAGGTCACATGACAGGCAGATGTTTGACAGATCACAAGAATAAAGAAGTACCATTACTTCTGTAAGATTGTAGACTAAAGAACTATCATTTCTTCTGTAAGATTGTACACTTAAGAACAACCATACCTTTGTAAGATTGTACACTTAAGAACAACCATACCTTTATAAGATTGTACACTTAAGAACAATCATTACCTCTGTAAGATTGTAGACTTAAGAACAATCATTACTTCTGTCAGATGATAGATATAAGAACAATCATTACCTCTGTAAGATTGTAAACTTAATAACAATCATTACCTCTGTAAGATTGTAAACTTAGTAACAATCATTACCTCTGTCAGATTGTAGACTATCTTGAAGTTCCGACTCTGCCAAAGTTGTGCAACCAATCTCCTACTGAAGTCAAGTCCAGTAACTCCGAAATCCTAGAAAATAAAACAATTTTTTTTTCTCTGAAACAGATGCTGTGTCATCTCATTCACCCAGACGGTTTAAACAACACAAAAATGTACAAATGTAGAACATTTCCTCATGATTATACATTCTAAACCATACTAGATCGTCTTGTTTTTGTGTGTTAATTGCTCACAGGCTATATATATCTCCAAAATTCGTAAACGGAATAAAGTTATTTGGTTCAAATATTTGCTATTTATATACCTGTATTTAATTGGACCATTTTGTCGATGGCCCACGTCCCTTTGATGTCTGCCTGGGTGCTTTGTTAAATAGCTGTCTTCATACCATCTTCTAAATGTCGTCATACCATCTTCTAAATGTTTTCATACCATCTTCTAAATGTCTTCATACCATCTTCTAAATGTCTTCATACCATCTTCTAAATGTCTTCATACCATCTTCTAAATGTCTTCAAACCATCTTCTAAATGTCGCCATACCATCTTCTTAATATCTTGTTCTAAATGTCGTCATACCATCTTCTAAATGTCTTCATACCTTGTTTTAAATATTCGTCATATCATCTTCTAAATGTCTTCATACCTTGTTCTAAATGTCGTCATACCATCTTCTAAATGTCTTCATTCAGTGTTCTAAATGTTGTCATACCATCTTCTAAATGTCTTCATACCATCTTCTAAATGTCTTCATACCATCTTCTAAATGTCTTCATGCAATCTTCTAAATATCTTCATACCATCTTCTAAATGTCTTCATACCATCTTCTAAATGTCTTCATGCCATCTTCTTAATTTCTTCATACCATCTTCTAAATGTCTTCATCTCTTGTTCTAAATGTCGTCATACCATCTTCTAAATGTCTTCATACCTTGTTCTAAATGTCGTCATATCATCTTCTAAATGTCTTCATACCTTGTTCTAAATGTCGTCATACAATCTTCTAAATGTCTTCATTCAGTGTTCTAAATGTTGTCATACCATCTTCTAAATGTCTTCATACCATCTTCTAAATGTCTTCATACCATCTTCTAAATGTCTTCATACCATCTTCTAAATGTCTTCATACCATCTTCTAAATGTCTTCATACCATCTTCTAAATGTCGTCATACCATCTTCTAAATGTCGTCATACCATCTGCTAAATGTCTTCATACCATCTTCTAAATGTCTTCATACCATCTTCTAAATGTCTTCATACCATCTTCTAAATGTCTTCATACCATCTTCTAAATGTCTTCATACCATCTTCTAAATGTCGTCATAACATCTTCTAAATGTCGTCATACCATCTTCTAAATGTCGTCAGACCATCTTCTGAATGTCTTCATACCATCTTCTAAATGTCTTCATACCATCTTCTAAATGTCTTCATACCATCTTCTAAATGTCTTCATACCATCTTCTAAATGTCTTCATACCATCTTCTAAATGTCTTCATACCATCTTCTAAATGTCTTCATACCATCTTCTAAATGTCTTCATACCATCTTATAAATGTCTTCATACCATCTTCTAAATGTCTTTATACCATCTTCTAAATGTCTTTATACCATTTTCTAAATGTCTTTATACCATCTTCTAAATATCTTCATACCATCTTCTAAATTTCTTCATACCATCTTCTAAATATCTTTATACCATCTTCTAAATATCTTTATACCATCTTCTAAATGTCTTTATACCATTTTCTAAATGTCTTTATACCATCTTCTAAATGTCTTCATACCATCTTCTAAATTTCTTCATACCATCTTCTAAATATCTTTATACCATCTTCTAAATATCTTTATACCATCTTCTAAATGTCTTTATACCATCTACTGAACACAATCGTTCCGTCTTATGAACATTTTGTTTTTACTGAACCCAATATATACCGGTTTCTGCACCGTATAACATTCGTATAACACAAACTCCAAACTCCAGATTTTATATTTACACAACATTCGTACAATAAAAACTCCACAAATTTTATAATTACACTACACAAAAATTCCATAACATTCGTACAATACAGACTCCAGATTTTATAACTACACAACATTCGTACAATACAAACTCCAGATTTTATAACTACACAACATTCGTACAATACAGACTCCAGATTTTATAATTACACAACATTCGTACAATACAGACTCCAGATTTTATAATTACATAACATTCGTACAATACAGACTCCAGATTTTATAACTACACAACATTCGTACAATACAGATTCCAGATTTTATAATTGCACAACATTCGTACAATACAAACTCCAGATTTTATAATTACACAACATTCGTACAATACAGACTCCAGATTTTATAATTACACAACATTCGTACAATAAAAAACTCCAGATTTTATAACTACACAACATTCTTACAATACAGACTCCAGATTTTATAACTACACAACATTCGTACAATACAGACTCCAGATTTTATAATTACACAACATTCGTACAATACAGACTCCAGATTTTATAACTACACAACATTCGTACAATGCAGACTCCAGATTTTATAATTACACAACATTCGTACAATACAAACTCCAGATTTTATAATTACACAACATTCGTACAATACAAACTCCAGATTTTATAATTACAAAACATTCGTACAATACAGACTCCAGATTTTAAAAAATTACATAACATTCGTACAATACAAACTCCAGATTTTATAATTACACAACATTCGTACAATGCAAACTCCAGATTTTATAATTACACAACATTCGTACAATACAAACTCCAGATTTTATAATTACACAACATTCGTACAATACAGACTCCAGATTTTATAATTACACAACATTCGTACAATAAAAAACTCCAGATTTTATAACTACACAACATTCTTACAATACAGACTCCAGATTTTATAACTACACAACATTCGTACAATAAAAAACTCCAGATTTTATAATTACACAACATTCTTACAATACAGACTCCAAATTTTATAACTACACAACATTCGTACAATACAGACTCCAGATTTTATAATTACACAACATTCGTACAATACAGACTCCAGATTTTATAATTACACAACATTCGTACAATACAGACTCCAGATTTTATAATTACACAACATTCGTACAATACAAACTCCAGATTTTATAATTACACAACATTCGTACAATTCAAACTCCAGATTTTATAATTACACAACATTTGTACAATACAAACTCCAGATTTTAAAAATTACACAACATTCGTACAATACAAACTCCAGATTTTATAATTACACAACATTAGTACAATACCAACTCCAGATTTTATAATTACACAACATTCGTACAATTCAAACTCCAGATTTTATAATTACACAACATTCGTACAATACAAACTCCGGATTTTATAATTACACAACATTCGTACAATACAAACTCCGGATTTTATACAAGCATAACATTCGTACAATAAAACTCCAGAAATGTTATAATTACACAACTATTTTTAGAAACATACTTGAATTTAGGTCATTAAAAAAAAAACTCCAATCATTGAGATTGTTGGCGACGCCTACACTTCAATTATCTTAATGTAATTAGGACAATTAATTTTACTCATCTATTGGTCAGGTGTCTAAATAGAGACCACACGTAATGTAGTTCTAAGTACTAGGAGTCTGTGTCTGTCTTACAAAAACTTGCACATTAAGACAAAAATGTGGAAGCTCCCTAATAATAAGCAGTTTATCTAATTAATGGTAAATACTATAGGTACCTAGGTAAAAATTGATTCGAATAGATCTTTCATATATGATGATGAATGCAACATGTAGGGTAGGTAAATCAGATATAGATGTAAGATAGTGGTAGAATATCAATAAATTTAAGATACAGGTAGATAATAATAAATGTAATGAAGAGTTAGGCCAACAATGAATGTAATGAAGAGTTAGGCCAACAAAGAATGTAAGATACAGGTAGAATATCAATAAATGTAATATACAGGTAGAACATTAATAAATGTAAGATACAGGTAGATAATAATAAATTTAACAAAGAGTTATGTCAACAGTGAATGTAATGAAAAGTTAGGCCAACAATGAATGTAAGTTACAGGTAAAATGATCTCTTACAGCTGTTTGAATATCGTAGAATATCGTCTGCCACTTGTCCGGTAAACAGACGGAGCTTGGGTCTCTGAGACTGACCACGACAGGAACCAGTGCCAGAATCAGGGTGGCAGGCAACATCATGGTGGACGCTCTGGACATAGTGGTCTGCTGGTCGAGGCAACGTCTGATTTTTATCTTTCTTAGCTTATACTTTCGCGTGGTGTGATATTTAAGGAGCTTGAGATCCGCGAAGTATGATAATTTAATAACTCTAGTTCCGCGAAGTTATTAAAATATCATACTTCGCGGATTTCAAGCTTCTTAAATATCACACCACGCGAAAGTATAAGCTAAGAAAGATAATTTCTGTTTTACATCGGATGATAAAACAGGCATTAGTTCGATTGGGATAAATTTCATGGCATGCAAATTATCAAATGTAATTATTTAGCAAATCACAAAAAATATGACCAGGCTGCTCATCAGTATATAAAGAACCTGTTGTAACTTTGTAACCCAATATCGGTGTATATATATATATATATATATATATATATATATATATATATATATATATATATATATATATATATACAAACATAAAAATATACACATACACATACACACACATACACGCGCACATGCACACGCACATATACACACACACACACACACACACACACATATATATATATATATATATATATATATATATATATATATATATATATATATATATGTATATATATAACTGGACTGCTAACCCGTAAGTCTCGAGTTCGAATCCGGGTTAAAGTCAGTAGACCGTCCCTGAATCCACCAACTCTGATGGGTACCTAACTCACGTTAGGGAAAGTAAAGGCGGCTGGGCATAGTGCTGACCACACTATCTCTTCATATGCCGAGGTCACAGAAACAAGTGAACTCTACTTCACTTGCCCCATAGACCGTCAGGTTTGAAAGGGAAACTTTACTTTATATATATATATATATATATATATATATATATATATATATATATATATATATATATATATATATATATATATATATATATATATATATATATATATGTGTGTGTGTGTGTGTGTTTGTATATCATATAGATCAAGCCATAGTAGATCATTCACTGTTTATTAGTGAATGTGAAGTGATGTTGTATTGAATCCATCACCTTCGCTTTCCATAGTGTATTATTACCATCATGACTATTAAGATGAGTTTTTAAAATTCTTACCTATTTTTGTTTTTAATTTCCTTAAATCATTCACGCATTAGAAAAAACAACAATATAGGTGTAGTGGGATTTACATCGATCAGTAAAGTAAAAACCACTATAACAATTGTTTATGGTTTGTAAAACTTCGGTATGCTACTTATAAAAATAATAATCAGGTTCCACCGAGATTTGTACTCGGATCGCTGGATTCAAAGTTCAGAGTGCTAACCATTACACCATGGAACCTCATATCTTCAAAGTTCGAATTATTTTTTTTTACCGCGAGTTGATTCACCTGTACTTTCATCGGCTTGACCAGGTAGAAACAGACGCATGTTAGGTGACGACCGTTAACCTAGGCAGACGACACCACCCCCACCTCCCCGACCTCACTGCTACAGTGTAGACCAGATCTATTCAATCTGTGGCCTATATTGGACGGAAATAAACACCACGGGATGTCTTTAGAAATTAATGAACTTTGACCTAATTAATCCATAATCGATGAGGTGTGTACAAGCAAGACGCCAGAGCTGACTTTAATTAATTAAATCATAATTAGATTAGAAAAACGTTATCTTTATCTTCGTGTGGGCACGTTTCAGAAGTTGAGAATAATGGATGTAGGTCTTAATTAATGAGTTGGGAAAAAAGGATGCATGTCTTAATTAATGAGTTGGGAAATAATGGATGCATGTCTTGATTAATGAGTTGGGGAATAATGGATGCAGGTCTCAATTAATGAGTTGGGAAATAATGAAACAGGTCTTAATTAATGAGTTGGGGAATAATAAATACAGGTCTTAATTAATGTTGGGTAATAATGAATGCAGGTCTTAATTAATGAGTGAGAGGTGAGGGAGTTATGGATACAAGGATTAATTAATAAGTGCGGTATTGGAAGGTGGGAGAATAATGGGTACAGGTCTTAATTAATGAGTGGGGATAGGAAATATAGAGATGTTAAGGGGTGTTTGTTTGTGGGGGAATAATGGATACAGACTGTCCACTAGATGAGACAGGTTGTCCACCTAACAGAACGATCAACGAAGCGTAACATCTGGGTCACGTTTCCATCTATTACGTCTGTACGCGAGGGCTGAGCTAATCACCAGACGACCAGAGTTAAGGAAGGTGGCGGTCAGGGATTATAGATGATTGCTGGTGATTGCTGGTGATTTTTGGTGATTGTTGGTGATTGCCAACTGATGATGTCGTAATGGCCCCTTATTCAAACGCCGAACGAGATTATCTCCCAGTAAACTGTGTGATAGAAACTGTCCTACAATCATAAGACAGTTGACTTGGCGGCTGAGAAAGAAAACAGACGGTGGTTTTTTTTTTCTAGCATCGATGTCTGTTTACAATGATTTGTAATGTATTTAAAAAGTAACATACTGCGATTAAATGTAGGTTCCATGGTGTAATGGTTAGCACTCTGGACTTTGAATCCAGCGATCCGAGTTCAAATCTCGGTGGAACCTTTCTTTATTTTTAAGAGGCTTAAAACAAAAACTTCCTAAGTTTAATTAGTAAGACTTTATAAACATAAGTCTGAAAAATATCGACTGCGGTGTTCATATAACAAGGAACATTAATTACAAACCAATTAAATTTCTTATCGGTGAGTTTCAGGTCAAAATTTGTAATTTGGTTTTCACCAATTTGTAAGTAAATGTTTTTCTTTCAAACTTTCCCGAGCCTGTCGGATTACAATTCATAACCACATTCCATGACGGAATGTTATGGTGTGTAATAAACAGTGTATACTATCTAGCTTCTTGTCGTTTTAATTATGTCGTAGCCACGCCTCGGTGATTACAGGTGACATGGTCACACCTGAGTGATTAGCGTCTGATAAAAACCTAATCAAGGGCGAGACCCAATTTATCCAATCAGCAATCGAGCCAATACCTGGGGAATGTGTGAGGCCGATAATGGGAGGAGTGTTTATGTTTACTGGGATGTGTGTTTATGTTTAATGGGATGTGTGTTTATGTTTACTGGGATGTGTGTTTATGTTTAATGGGATGTGTGTTTATGTTTAATGGTATGTGTGTTTATGTTTAGTAGCCAACACTCTCGTGTACCTCATTCTTGTTAGAAACGGCGAGGAGACTTGTGAGGATGTAAAAAAAACGCAACAAGGCTGGGCACAAAATGGCTGTATAAGTTCAGTTTATACTTCTGTCATTTTATTTGATAGAGGATACAGCCCCATAGATAGAGGATACAGTCACACAGAGAAGATAGATACAGCCCCACAGAGATGATAGAGGATACAGCCCCATAGATACAGGATACAGCCCCACAGAGAAGATAGAGGATACAGCCCCACAGAGAAGATAGAGGATACAGCCCCACAGAGAAGATAGAGGATACAGTCCCACAGAGAAGATAGAGGATACAGTCCCACAGAGAAGATAGAGGATACAGTCCCACAGAGAAGATAGAGGATACAGTCCCACAGAGAAGATAGAGGATACAGTCCCATAGATAGAGGATACAGTCACACAGAGAAGATAGATACAGCCCCACAGAGATGATAGAGGATACAGCCCCACAGAGAAGATAGAGGATACAGTCCCATAGATAGAGGATACAGTCACACAGAGAAGATAGATACAGCCCCACAGAGATGATAGAGGATACAGCCCCATAGATACAGGATACAGCCCCACAGAGAAGATAGAGGATACAGCCCCACAGAGAAGATAGAGGATACAGCCCCACAGAGAAGATAGAGGATACAGCCCCACAGAGAAGATAGAGGATACAGCCCCACAGAGAAGATAGAGGATACAGTCCCACAGAGAAGATAGAGGATACAGTCCCACCGAGAAGATAGAGGATACAGCCACACAGAGCTTGCTAGCACGAAAGCCACCACCATCGTTAGTTATTGACGTATGAACACCCAGTATCACACAAACTGTTGTTGCCATAGCAACACCAAATGGTATGCCCTGCCTGTAGAGACCCAATCACAGACTAACAGGCATTGACCAAAAAAACCGATGCGACAATTTACTGACCACTGACCACTGACCACACAATTTCGTTCAACACGCAAGTCTGCAGTGCTGAAAAATGTTCTTTACATAATAGACGCTCAATAGTTACTTTAAAACTTTCATGGTGCGTTATAGTCTTGCACAGACTTTCATTGTACATAACAGATTTTCATTGTACATTACAGACTAACGTTGTACATAACAGACTTTCGTTGTACTTTACAGACTTTCATTGTACATAACAGATTTTCATTGTACATTACAGACTTTCATTGTACATAACAGACTTTCGTTGTACATTACAGACTTTTGTTAGGTAGTTTAGACTTTCATAGTACAAAACAAACTTTCATTGTACAAAGCAGACTTTCATTATACATAATTAACTTTTAATTAGCAGTACATACTTTCACTGTGCTCTACAGACTTATATGTTAGTAAAAACATAAACAAGTTAATTAAAAAAGTCTAGTGACATTTGTGCGCAATTTCCTTATGTTATCTAAAAATAGCTCTGACGTATAATGTTGGGGTGCGTTCAAGCTAGAAGAACAATCGGTTTGTAGGTGTTTATGTAATTTTAAAATTTGTGACCGAACGAGAGAATATTTTTGAAAACTTTCTTCGGCAATATTGTTCTAAATTATGACAGGAATCGATTGGTACATGTTTCAAGTCGCTAAGTGGTCTGGTTGCCGAGATATGGGCCAAAAACTGAATTTTTTTCGAGGTTTTTTGGCTTTTCCGGGAAATACATGAAAGAAACCCGGAATTTTTATGGCCTATGCTCATTCTCGTAACTTGCTTAACATAATTGCTTTTGGAACTATTCATCGATATTGCTTCGTTGAGGAGGAGATACGACTTAAAGCCCGGACACACATTCATCCATCCATCCATCCATTCCCAGAAATGACGAGTTAATAAACGCAATTCTCCAGAATGGAAATTGCGCTAAAAATCACTAACGTATTTTATATGATGCAGATTTTTATCCATATGCTTGTAAGATGTGTTATGCAGTATATTACTATATTGGACACTCGAAATGTGTTAATTTGAAAAGAAAATGGCTGTTCTATGTATACTGTAAGATAGACTGAGCAGTACTTGAACCTAAGCTTCCCTGAAACAACATATCAGGAGCGCTACCGATACGACCATAAGTGCTGTAACGCTGGCGTTATCTCCCCGTGAGATCAAGGTCACGGTCAGATTGTACCTGTCTGTGATCAGTGTTCTAACACCTGGCTACCTGTGTTATACTGCACTTCCGGATTACAGGTGTTAGTACGTCTAACGATTTCTGAGAAACCTGGCTATTGGGTGTCATCTGAGACATTTGGCTGTTTGCTGTCAAGAAATTTGGCTGTTTTGTGTCATCTGAGAAATTTGGCTGTTTGTTGTCATCGTTGGCTCAGGAATAAACAAAGACACGGTATTGTTAAATTAGTTTGCTATTTTTCTTTTTATACATAACTAAAATAAATAAGTTTTATAGAAATTCAGTTTGTAACGTTGTTCCCAGAAGTTAAAACAAAAGACAATCTGTTTGCGGTGGATAAGTTTTAACAGTCTCGACTGTTGTCTATTTACCCGTTATTTTCTCTATTTTTTCATCTTTTAAACTAGTACGAAAACTGAACGACTATAGCCGTAACTACACGAACAGCTATCCCATCTGTCTTTAAAAAAAACATACAGAAGTTACTTCAATAATATATCTAGTACTTAACCTCTGCAGATTACTGAAATACCTATCCATACTCTACTGAAATTTGAGATTATTCTCAAATCTTCTTATCTCAAACCTTGGAACCTTTCTTTGATTTAGATTTTAGATTTTAGAATACTGCAGTATTGGATATAAAACCCTGAAATCTGCTGTTGTTATGAAACCATTAATCTGCTGTTGTTATAAAACCCGGAAATATGCTTTTGTTATAAAACCATGAAATATGCTTTTGTTATAAAACCATGAAATATGCTTTTGTTATAAAACCCTGAAATTTACTTTTGTTATAAAACCCTGAAATCTGCTGTTGTTATAAAACCCTGAAATTTACTTTTGTTATAAAACCCTGAAATCTGCTGTTGTTATAAAACCCTGAAATCTGCTGTTGTTATAAAACCCTGAAATCTGCTGTTGTTATAAAACCCTGAAATCTGCTGTTGTTATAAAACCATGAAATCTGCTGTTGTTATAAAACCCTGAAATCTGCTGTTGTTATAAAACCCTGAAATCTGCTTTTATTATAAACCCTGAAATCACAATATTTGCTGGATGCTTGGAAAACATGTCGCCCATGATTAGCAACAAATCTGTTTAAATTTGCGATTAAAAAAATTGGGGCATATCTGGGCATGTAACCGCCTTGGGATGACCCCGGGGGATTAAGAGAGGGGGAGGGAGGGGTATCGTATTTGCCGGTCACGTGATCTTTGAGTAGGCGCGTGGCATTGATCGTCTGATTTCAAGGTCACGTTGTCTCAGCACGCCAGGATTTGTTACAGGAAGTGGAGACAGGAAAACATTGGTGCCAGACAGGACAGGACAGCTTTACAGTGTAGGCAAGGTCAGGACAGGACAGCTTTACAGTGTAGACAAGATTCGTCGGCAGCTGATTGAAGTAGTCATAGGAAGGATGTTTTATAATGTGTTAGAATATTGGTCGACAGCTTTTTAGATAAATCGTGTTTAAGAAACACGTACTAAGATGGGTATTACATATGTCAATTGGTTAAATGCTGACAATAATTGATACAGTAACATGTAACATAATACATATTGCATGGTATAAAGTCCTACAATAGTATTTCAGTTAACTATTTTAATCAAATTCTAACGTATCGTACATATAAGACCTCTAACTTTAAACTGTATATTTAACTAGAATAATATATGTAAAATTGCATTCAATGACCTCTTTATTTTAGGTCATTCCATTTTGATACACTGAAATAATTCTTGATTTTTTTCTAATTCTAAGAAAACGATTCAAGTAAACTTATTTAAAAATGTTTCTCTTGATTGTCTTTCTGGAATCTTCCAGGAGTATCGCCGCTGGACATCTGACCATGCTTCATGACGTCAGCCCGGGGGATGAGGACCAATCGGACTCCGCGGAGAGTCAAGATGGCGGACAGGATTTCTTTCAAGCCATGGTAGAGCGCATGCGCAAGGACATCAAAAGCTCGTCGTCAAGGGAGAGGAAGATTCGGGGGCAGCCTGGGGCGTCTAGGCAACGGGTGATGTCTGGGTAGGTTGGTGGTGGGGTGGGGGTAGGTTGGTGGTGGGGTGTGGGTAGGTTTATGGTGGGGTGTGGGTAGGTTTATGGTGGGGGTGGTGTGTGGGTAGGTTTATGGTGGAGTGTGGGTAGGTTTATGGTGGGGTGTGGGGTAGGTTGGTGGTGGGGTGCGGGTAGGTTGGTGGTGGGGTGTGGGTAGGTTTATGGTGGGGGTGGTGTGTGGGTAGGTTTATGGTGGGGTGTGGGGTAGGTTGGTGGTGGGGTTCGGGTAGGTTGGTGGTGGGGTGTGGGTAGGTTTATGGTGGGGTGTGGGTAGGTTTATGGTGGGGTGTTGGTAGGTTTATGGTGGGGTGTTGGTAGGTTTATGGTGGGGTGTGGGTAGGTTTATGGTGGGGTGTGGGTAGGTTTATGGTGGGGTGGGGGTAGGTTTATGGTGGGGTGTGGGTAGGTTTATGGTGGGGTGTGGGTAGGTTTATGGTGTGTGGGGTAGGTTTATGGTGGGGTGTGGGTAGGTTTATGGTGGGGTGTGGGTAGGTTTATGGTGGGGTGTGGGTAGGTTTATGGTGGGGTGTGGGTAGGTTTATGGTGGGGTGGGGGTAGGTTTATGGTGGTGTTGTGTGTGGGAAGGCTCTTAGTTGGGTGGTGTGTGGGTAGGTTTATGGTGGGGTGTGGGTAGGTTTATGGTGGGGTGTGGGTAGGTTTATGGTGTGTGGGGTAGGTTTATGGTGGGGTGTGGGTAGGTTTATGGTGGGGTGTGGGTAGGTTTATGGTGTTGCATTGTTAGGTTTATGGTGGGGTGATGTGTTGCTAGGTTTATGGTGGGGTGTGGGTAGGTTTATGGTGGTGTTGTGTGTGGGAAGGCTTTTAGTGGGGTGGTGTGTGGGTGTTGAATGGTTAGGTTTATGGTGGGGTGATGTGTGGCTAGGTTTATGGTGGGGTGTGGGTAGGTTTATGATGGGGTGTGGGTAGGTTTATGGTGGGGTGTGGGTAGGTTTATGGTGGGGTGTGGGTAGGTTTATGGTGGGGTGTGGGTAGGTTTATGGTGGGGTGGGGGTAGGTTTATGGTGGGGTGTGGGTAGTTTTATGGTGGGGTGTGGGTAGGTTTATGGTGTTGCATGGTTAGGTTTATGGTGGGGTGATGTGTGGCTAGGTTTATGGTGGGGTGTAGGTAGGTTTATGGTGGTGATGTGTGTGGGAAGGCTCTTAGTGGGGTGGTGTGTGGGTATGTTTATGGTGTTGCATGGTTAGGTTTATGGTGGGGTGATGTGTGGCTAGGTTTATGGTGGGGTGTGGGTAGGTTTATGGTGTGTGGGGTAGGTTTATGGTGGGGTGTGGGTAGGTTTATGGTGGGGTGTGGGTAGGTTTATGGTGTTGCATGGTTAGGTTTATGGTGGGGTGATGTGTGGCTAGGTTTATGGTGGGGTGTGGGTAGGTTTATGATGGGGTGTGGGTAGGTTTATGGTGGGGTGTGGGTAGGTTTATGGTGGGGTGTGGGTAGGTTTATGGTGGGGTTGGGTAGGTTTATTGTGTGGGTAGGTTTATAGTGGGGTTGGGTAGGTTTATTGTTGGGTGATGTTTGAGGAGGTTCATGGTGGGGTGTTCTATGGGTAGTCTTTTTGGGGTGCTGTAAGGGTAGGATTATTGCACGGCGATATATAGGAAGCCAATAGTTGGCATATTATATTGGAAGGTTTGAGATGGGATGATATATGGGTAGGTTTATTTGGGGTAAGGTAAGCAGGTTTGTAGTTTTGGCGAACAGTAGAAGGTTTATATGGTCTCTCTCTCTCTGTATATTTTATATATATATATATATATATATATATATATATATATATATATATATATATATATATATATATATATATATATATATATATATATATATATATATATATATATATATATATATATATATATCATGTATATGGCCTTGCAGCGCCTCCGTATCGAGTATAAAACATGAAGAGACCGACTACCCCATGAACCTCGCCTGGCCTCTAGGACGTCGGGTGAAGATTAACCTGGAGTACAGAACACCTTTTGTGTTTACTGGCAGCGGGGGGTCGGCCCCACCCCGACAAGTCCCGGAGGAAGGTGAGTACAGATTATGTACCTCGTCGTGTAGGGGTTTAGTGGGGGCCTCGTCGTGTAGGGGTTGTGATGTTGTAAAACAGGTAGCTACAAGTAGAAGCTAAAATTATGAGACACTCACAACAACCATAACATTTCACACAAACGTTGGATTAAAAACACACACATTCTCCCATTTAAAAAGTGTATTGATATATATGTGCATGTATATATGAGTATTAAAGTATGTGTACATGTATGTATGTAATATGCGTATATTTGTGTATCGATGTGTTTACACACCCGGCTCCCATATGTTTTCATATGGCGGCTGCCTGCGTCATCACGTGATTATCACGTGCTCATTACAGCCTTGATTAATTAGCCATAATAGAGGAACAATGTAAAAAATAATTTCCACAATGAATTTCGACTCGTAATCCGCTTTAACCCGATTAAAACTTAATCTTCTATTTGTTGCGTAAAACCATTACAACGGGGAATATAACACATTTATTTTTCGAATTCCCGCCCTTTTTTCTCCATACAACGTCATCGTTTTTTGAGCTCTCGACACGTCACTTGCCTCCTCTGTTCGTTTACCAAAAAATCTTTTGTTCCATTAGCCAATGAAGGATGTGTTTAGCAATATTTTTGTGTACTTTGCTAGCTAAAGTACAAAAATCAATTGATGAAGACACACTTTAAGCTATGATGTGTCTCAGTTATAGCTATGGTGTGGCTGAATCGCAGCTAATGTGAGGTTACATTGTAGCCATCATGTGGTTAAATTGTAGCCTTGATATGGTTAAATTGTAGCCTTGATGTGGTTAAATTGTAGCCTTGATGTGGTTAAATTGTAGCAACGATATGGTTAAATTGTAGCCATGATATGGTTACATTTTTAGCCATACTGTTACACACACGAAGCCATGATGTGTCCCAGTTTTAGCCATGCTGTGCCCCACTCGTGTAATGAATCTTGATCGAGAGGGAAGATATTTCCAGCCACATAATCCTCTTGGAATTTCTTCAAGAAAAGATCTCACAGCTTAGAGCTTAGAGCCATTTTCTCCCACTTGCCTCAAGCGTGTTAAACTCTCCATGTTTTAAAACGTTTATCTCTCTTGCTGATAACTCGAGACATGCAACCCTCCCCACCCTTCCCCTATCCCCCCACCCCCCACCCCCCATAGCCTCGCTCCACCGGTCCCCGCCCTTACCCCTCTCCTATTACCTCACAAAGGACTCCCAATCTTTACAGCCTATTCATCTACGAAATCTGAACAATCGGAAAAACCCTCCTGACATCGGAAATTCCCATTCATTATTTTTAGCCTACAGCTTTGGCGGGGGGCTGTTTACTAGCCGTAGATTAATCTTTAGAATAAATATTTCTGTTTTATCATGTCAATATTTAATACACGAATGCTCGCCTGAACCCGCCCATAAATCAGACATGTGTTTGATCTATCAATGGGACTGTGTCACTCTGGGTTATGGGGGTGGGGTGGGTGCTGGGAATATGATCAGATGATTATAAATGGCAGGGATCTGGCAGAAATTACGTGCTGTGGGGTGATGGACGACGACCGGGAACACTGCTCACGTTCGTGCATGGTTTAACGTGTGCTGGTCTGTTTACATGCACGTGCATAGTTTAACGTATGCTGTGATGTTGATCGATGTAGCAGACCCTCGTTACTTTACGTCACTGCACATTACGCCATTACTGTACGGCCCGTCACGTTACGTCACGACACACTCCGACACCGTAGGACACACTCCGACACGGCAGTTAACCCAATGGCTCCTGATTGAAAATGAAAATAGTTGAGCGGGGTAAATTCTCTTCGCCTGTGGGTGAAACTTCATCCTCTTCTTCGTTCATGATTGTAATGTTGGATATGATTGATAGTAATGTTGGATATGATTGATAGTAATGTTGGATATGATTGATAGTAATGTTGGATATGATTGATAGTAATGTTGGATATGATTGATAGTAATGTTGGATATGATTGATAGTAAGGTTGGATATGATTGATAGTAATGTTGGATATGATTGATAGTAATGTTGGATATGATTGATAGTAATGTTGAATATCATTGATAGTAATGTTGGATATGATTGATAGTAATGTTGGATATGATTGATAGTAATGTTGGATATCATTGATAGTAATGTTGGATATGACTGATAGTAATGTTGGATATGATTGATAGTAATGTTGGATATGATTGATTGTAATGTTGGATATGATTGATAGTAATGTTGTATATGATTGATAGTAATGTTGGATATGATTGATAGTAATGTTGGATATGATTGATTGTAATGTTGGATATGATTGATAGTAATGTTGGATATGATTGATAGTAATGTTGGATATGATTGATAGTAATGTTGGATATGATTGATAGTAATGTTGGATATGATTGATAGTAATGTTGGATATGATTGATTGTAATGTTGGATATGATTGATAGTAATGTTGGATATGATTGATTGTAATGTTGGATATGATTGATAGTAATGTTGGGTGGGATATCCTACAAAACAATTGAGTATTACGTGTCAACCTGTTATGGGCCATAGAGGCCATTGACTCCAATTTCAGCCTGCCTTCCTTTCTAGTCCACCCAAGAACAAACAACAAGTTGTTTAATTTTTGGAAGAGTAGCTTTTCCTAGCTAATGAGCCTCATCTGCCCGGGATTTTGAACTCGGGACTTTTCTGTCTATCAACTATGACCACGCCGACCTCTGTTGGTTAAATAAATCTATACGATGAATAAACACCAGGCGAACACATGCTGATGACACACATTTATAATTTATACATATATTCTGCCCCTCTGTCTCGCACTAACTTACCACAGCTGTGTCATATCATAACTACATAACCTGGTGGCACAAAAACTGCTGCTTACTTCCCTTTTATCGCTAGAAGATGTGTATTATCTCCCCTGAGTGAAGCCACCAGCAATAGCCCACGTCAAGTCAAGTGGTGACGATCACGTTCACACATCCACGGTTCCACAACAGTACAAGACAAACCATTCAGTGCCTCGTGTTCAACTGTGTTGGCCCGGGTCGGTACAAGGTGGCCCGTATTGTGTCTCGATGGCCCCTGATTGGTCTTTTTTTGGCCCCTGTTGCGTGATAGAGCCTGGTTCGATACGTGCCCTTATCTTGACCATCTGTCTGCCCTTCAGCAGACGACAATGTTGTCTGCCTGTAAAAGAAAGGGGAGGGAATGTATTGTTTACACAAGTACTTTGTCTAGAGGAAGGGGGGTGGGGAGGGAATGTACTAAATTGCATCAGTACTTTGTGGAAAGGAGTGATGAGAATATAATGAATTACAACAGTACTTAGTCTACAATACCAGTACTTTGTTTTGCAGTAAGGGGTGGGGAGGGAATGTTATGAATAACAGTAGTGCTCAGTCGTCAAGAAAGGAGTGAGGAGAATTTGTAGACAGTGGCGAAAGAAAGGAAGAATTAGATACTTTCTTTCTTAATTGGTGTGGGCAGCACAAGGGTGTTAGGAATAGAGGACAACGCCACGAGACACATTTTAGAGGAAAGTAGGGGTGGGGGGGGGGGGGGGGTTGAAAATCGTTCAATGAAAAATGACAGTTTGCAGTTCGATTAATGGTTGCCTGGGATTGACTACGCTTTAAAGTAAATGCTGCTGAGAGGGAGAGGGTGTTGCCAATACAAAAACGTGCGAATTATATAAAAAACAAGTCTTCTTCTAGCAGAATGGCTGATGTATGTGTACACAATCATCGTTAACATCCTTCATAATGTTTATTTGCGAATTGTTAAAGAAATGAAAAAAAACAACTTAGAATGGGAAGTAACTCATGCAAAAGCTAGGTTCATACAAACATTAACATAGATTATCTCCCCTACACCACAATCTAAATAGCAGTACACGAATGCTGTTATTCGCCAGTAACTATTGCTACATTTTAGCCATAAGAATTTATTTTACAGAGATATTCAATGGTTGCATCTACGGGTAGGCCTTACCGGAATAGCTAAAACACTCGCTACGTCACTGACAGCTATAGAAAATACCCTAACTGGCCCACTGAAAGTTATACGAAATACCCTATATTACTCTGCTGTCAAGTTTATAGTAGAGAAAATATTTGTTGTTAAAGCTCTTTAACAAAAACAATAGACTGGGACTATCGACACAAGATTCACACCAGGGTCGCTCAGGTATGCCGCTCTAACTGTTAGTGCCCTGATTCTACAATCAAACAATTCAATACTTTAGTGGCGCGTGATGAACATCTAGTCGTTCTTGTAAGAAGTTGGCGGTTTTTATTGTGTCGATGGTGGTGGCGTGGTTTGACCTGGTCATGTGACAAACATGCCCGGATGTTGTTTAGTGTCACGTGATGCGGTCCAGTGGGTTTGGTAAACAAACATTTGTTTAACGGAAATATGCGCGGTGGAGGTATCAGCTTACAACACGGAGTTTTAGGGTTTCTGTTTTTTTTTGGGGGGGGGGGGGGAGTAGAATGAGGGAGGGTTATACAGGCTTATAGAGAGGGGTGGGAAGGTGAAGGAGAGTTGTCTGGGTTACACATATTTGTTACTCTACCGGTTAAACCATTAGAACCACACATCACTGTATCAACTTAAGCTTAACCAAAACCACAACACAACATAAACCTTTGTACCTGTGCATGTACGGCGACTGTGTTTTCTATTCAAACGTTTACCTGGATAATTATCAACAGGAAGTTGTTCATTATTTTGTGGGTGTGTCGTTAATTGTTGTATCAGTGAGCTGTCATTTGTTCAAAGATTTTAATTCCACCGAGTTGTTGTTCATTATTTTTGTGGGCGTGTCGTTAATTGTTGTATCAGTGAGGTATCATTTGTTCAAAGATTTTAATTCCATCGAGTTGTTGTTCATTATTTATTGATGGTAAGTTGCTAATTAACTTATGAGGTTTTAATCAAGCAAATCTAACAGTTCCCTGACAACTGAACAGAC